TCAAGCCATTGTTCCACTGATTAGAGCACTTCCAGCTACTCCTTTAATTGTGCTTATTGATTTTTGATCTTTTAGGAGATTACAGCTGTGTATACCAGACTTTTTCCCTCCACTGCTGCTGCTTGAAGCCCTGGGCAAACCCAAGGTCATAACGAAGGTCACGAGGAGCCACAACAACAGAGAAGGGCTCAGCCTGCTATTACTGCAGTGCTGATGGGCACAAAGCAATTTAATTATAATACAACAATGAGGAGATCCCCTGCAAGCCTGCTACCAGGTTAATTCCCAAACAATAGACTACGCTGGAATCTTAACTGCCAATTAAACTGAAAAGCATATCTACACAGTTATGTAGTGTCAGAAGAACAAGAACCTATGTTAATGTTTCTTTAAAACCTGCAATTGAAGACACACAGTGCTCAAATGGAGCCTTCCAACTCCTGATTTTCAGCATCAAGTCATTTCTGAGTCTCTAGGCAGCAGCCATTACAGCAAGAGAAACGCTGCTGTTAACATCCTTCTGCTGAATATATCAGTGAGCAACAACAATAGCAGAATCATGAGCAGATGTCTCCTTGAATACGTGCGAAGCACATCAACTGGATTTCCACAATTCCTCTTCTTTACAACGGATTTTTGTTCTATTTCAAATGGATATAAAATGACACACGACTACTTTTTTGTAAAAAAAACAAGAATTAAAAAAAACCACTGAATTCTCATAATTATTTTTTAATAAAAGAGGAAGTTGTCAGTATAAAAATCAATATCAATGAAAATCAAAAGGTGGGAAGAGAACAGCTGCCACCTGGAGCCACACGCAGTGTGCTGGGCCAACACACAGCAGCGTGCTGCTCTCGTGCTGCTAGCACTGCACTGACCTTCCTGCATGGGACAAGACAGGCAATGGCTGTGCCCACCTGCCCAGACACCCCTGCCTGGGCTCCAGCCACAGACGAAAGAGGGTGGATAAAAACACAAATCAAACAAAAAAATCACTGTGACTCTTTGAATTCTTTCAGTACATTAAAGGATAAGAAATCCAGTCCTGCACACTACATTTCAAGTTGCTCCAAGGAAGCATCACCACTTTGCTTTTAGAAATGGAGTTTTATCTTTTTGCTAACAGCCACTTTTACACTTGGAGCATATTCAGCTGATTTCCAGCTACATGTCTCACTTCAGAGCAAACCCTTTAGGTATGTTCTAGCATTATTTAAATGCGCATTCACAGTTAAATGTGAATACACAGCAATTGTGTATTCACAGTTCTAAAAAACAGTACAAATCAAAGACTGTCATTCTATACATATATTATTTAGAGCACTATATCTGGGCTCAGAAGGGACCTAAAACTCACAGGTGGGAAGTCAGCTCTGTAAGAGGGAAACAGTCCCATGAGCATAGCAGGGCCAGAGAACTGCATTGTCTAGATTATCCCTCAGTTTGATACACATTTTCTTGTCAACGACTAATCAGGAAAATACAGCGTATAATGCAAGAAAATGAAAGACAAGTAAATTTCTTCAATGTCAATTTCAGAAAAATACTTCGTTCTATATCCTTGAAGAAATAAAATCCTACATATTTTACTAGGAACTCATATTTCTTCAGAGATGCTATTTAGCACATTGACATTATTTGTATATCAGCTACTTTTCATAACTAATGCAGACAAACACACACAAAAAATGTATTTCCTTCTTGAGTTCACATAATCACAACACCTTTTGCTTCCCTGGGAAAGAATTGCTCATTTATTTTTCATCTTCTGCATACTTGGGCATGGCTGCCTCATGATTTAACAACCAAATCAGTCAGCTATGAAATCTTCTTTGGTGCCACTAAAATAGAGGAGGCATGAAAGATCCAGAAGGCATGGCAATTAGCAATTGCTCAGAACCAATTACTCCTTCTAGTGACTCTCCAGGCCACAGGAGCTGCTGAGCTAGCTAATAACAGCAGTAAAACTCATCATCTGTAACCACCCTGCTGACCTGTCTCAACAGATCATTCAACAGAAAGTGTCAAAACCACTTGTGTCTGCTCCAGCAATTCCAGGTGCATCACACATCACTCCAAAGCCAACTCACTTTGAGTGTCCTGAGAAGACCTGAAAGGAACAACAGTATCTCCAACGAACTTCCAACTGATCCAAGGTGACATCTGCTTTCATACCACACCATCACTACTGATGGAAGCAACTCAAGTGGAGCTGCTGCCTGGTTCACTTAACCACCTTCCTGTGCCACCATATGAGATTTTTTCCTCAAAGCTCCAACAACAGTGAAATTCTGTATCCTATCAGGTAGCTGTGTTAGAGTAGATAACTTTTCCAACCAGCCCTTACTAGCAAGTATCTGTTAGAACTAAAATTGAGATTCAGCACTGTTAGTTTCCTGCCTTTTCAGCCCTTCCATAGCTTTTTCTAAAAAACAAAAACAAAAAACAAAACAAAAAAAAACCAACAAAAGACCTCTTTCTATAGTCAGAAGACATTATCAAGCATTTTCCACATTCCTCCTCTGGATTAAATCCAGAACAGATGCAATAGAAGTATTTTCTTATTCCTCTCAACATCTTGCAAGTCAGGTCTCTTGATAGGCAGCAATACAGGACTTCCAAAACACACATTATAAAGGACAGATCCATCTATAAGTAATCTCTGCAACAAGATGGAGAAGAGCCACAGTTTTCCTTTCCTGGGTAGTCAGAAATACTGACAGAAGGAATTTCCACTCCATCTCTGTGGTATAAAACAGTAGGTCATATTCCACTTTCAGCTCAGCACTTTCTTGCTGTTGAACTACAAAAGCATTCTTCACAGAAGAAGATGCACAGCATTTCTTTGGACTAATGTCAATATGAAACCTAGCTAGAACTAAGTATGGCTACAGGGGTTAGGGAAAACCAGTGTTCACCTTGCTCACTCACTAGCTTAGAAGAGTCGTGACATTCACATCAATTTTTCCCCACAGAATATTTCCAGATTAGTTTGCCATTACATCTATAAATCACCACAAAAGGCTTGTGCATGTCCTCCCCAACAATACCACTGGAACACAACTATTTGGACTTCTGTCGCTTTCTGATGCACTATACTAAAGAAAAGCCACGTCCCTCAGGATTGCCATGCTGACTTGGCTTTTTTGCAGACCAAGAGAACCCTGGCACCTCTGTTCACACACCTTGTCTAGTTGCTTAAAGCAAGTCATCAGAAGAAAACTCAAACCAAAATGCAAATAGACATCTTAAAAGGAAGAATTCCACAACCCACATGGTCAGTTGGCCCAGATGTTTTCATTTTCACACTAAAGTTTTCATGCTCTTTCTTTGGTCCTTCTCCCCTCTTCAGCTACACCACAGCTTATTATCTACAGAACAAACAGCTAGGATTTAAAAAAGGGAAGGCGATATGAAAGAACACGTTGAGATGACAAAGCAATATGCGGTCACTGGTTGTCAAAGTCACCTGCAGAGAAACCCCTAACTGCAGAGGTTATTATTTATCATGTTAAGTTTTGATTATATATATATTTTTAAAACTTTTTTTTTAATTGAGTTCAGTTTCAAAGTTTAGAATCAATCAGAATGCTGATCATCAATACCAATTTATGTTCAAGTAACTAAACAAATTTTTCCCATTTCAGCAGAAGAAAGCTTAAAAAGTGTGTAATGTGTGAGCACACAAGACTGAGCGGGTGAGGTGGAAGGACAAAGCACAAGAAGGAACACTAAAACCTGCTCATCCAGGGGTTGTGTGAAGGAAAATGCAGCTCCAAGCAGATATGTCTGGGTAGCTGAAATATGACAGTATCCAGAAGGAAAAATCACCTTAAACTGCAGTGACTCACCAGGCTGGATCAAAATCTGCCGATCAGCATGCTCAGAGCAGCACTCTGTATCCATTACGGACATAATGCCACCTCTGGGGTGAGGAGCTTTAAAGCTCTTAATGAAAGTTAGGAAATAAAGACATGAGCTGTGTGTGCCTGCAGCAACTGGTTGCTTGCCTAAACAGAGCATGTGGATTGATTCCAGTTCTATTATCCTACAGCCAGGTCCCACAAAATTCAAGTAGATCTAGACTGGCTTGTTTCAAGACCTATGACGCTCCACCCCCAAATCCCCAACCCCCAATCTACTTCTCTGTTGCATTCCAATTCCAATTGAACCCCCCAAAACCCCACAAAAGTAACATACACTTTCCAGAAAGACTCTTAATAAGACTTCTCATTTCCTCATGAATTTCACTACCAAATATTATCCACATAACTATTCTCTAAAGAAGTAAAATCACTTTTAATTTTCAATTTCACCTAGTGAAATACATCAAGATTAAGATGTGGGCTCTTAGATAACTTTCTTTTCTGGCAGAAAAACCTACAGCTGATTGTCCCAGGGCCAGGAGAGACTAGCACAAAGTGCTTCAAAGAAAGGTGCAAAGAAATCTGATGAGTAATAACTGTGGATTGTTTACCACATCCATTTGTGGTTTACAGTCTATGTAACTCTTACTCATTCTACATTTAAGCAATGAGTTGAGTTCTTAAAACAATCTTTTCCTCTATCAGTACCAATGATAGTCCATTTGAGCTACAGATTTCATGAACAATTACATTGTTCAGTGAACATCTCAGTGATTATTTCTCATCAGAAACAGGCAACGTCAATCCTAAAGCAATAAAAAATGAACGGTACCTTGAGAAAATAAGTCAATCACCCTGTGAAAAAGTAAAAAAACGTTATTTTCATGAGGGAGAACAGAATATAAAACTTTACCGTTACTCCGTTAATCCAGAAATCTGGATTTACCATATTGTTGAATTAACAGCTTTGGCTGAAATGGATGCCTTGCTGAAATCTCAGGGGAGGCAATCTATTTTGTCACTGTAAAGAAGGTATCGATCAACTCAACAATCTTCCTCGTTTTGCTTACACAGCATACGAAAACACAACCACAATACTAACCGTGGCACACACTTTTCACCTTCACTTACCTCTTTCAGTTCCTGTGCAACAGAATTAAGGCGTTCATTTTCAGACTGGGTGTTGGCAAGGACATTTCTGAGCTGCTTCAATTCTGTCTGCAGCTCCATAACCTTCTTCATGTAGTACTCTTCCTTGGTAGCCGATTCCTGAATCAAGGTCTCCTCTCTGCTCTCCCCATCTGCTGCTACCTTCTTGTGATTGGTATGGGCCTGCCCAAAAGCCTAGGACAGTAAGAAAAATCTTTTGTTAGTAAAACTAGAACTTTGCATAAATAGCTTCCTTTTTAAATAGCTGGAACTATTTACCCCATGTTTCTCTCTTGTAAAACAAAGCAACTTTTTCCCTGTGCTCTCCCAGGATTAGACACTTAAATGCTATCAAGTAGCTAACGCAGAGCTCTTGAAAGGAACGTGCAGCACCCAAACAATTGTTTATGATGCACAGGATTTTCACTTAAGTAGAAATTCACAAGAACTCCTGTAGAAGGGAACAACCATCTATAGACTTGAGTCTGAAGTTTAAGCAAGACTTTGGTTTTTCAGCAAGACAGCGGTGAGATGACCAAAAACTTCCGCATGCGTGTATTCTGTACAGTTGGGTCAGACTCACTTCTACGAAGACTGAACCACTGACAACAACCTGTTCCTTTCCTCAGGCAGGGAGCACATCTACCCCTTCTGATGCAGCTACAGCAAAAGAAACCTACTACCATTCTCAGTTGCTCACCACTGGAGATGACCATCCCTCCAACCTGCTAACACACTGATTTCAGTCAGAAGCGAGCCAGGCTAGCAGACTGCTGTGTAACCAGGTTAAGCTAACCTGGGTCAGCCTGGATGAAGTAGGTCAGCACATGCTCACCCCGCCAGCTCTGCTCCTGCGCTCGGAGCCTTTATCCCTAGCAGTGTGCCAGTGAAGGGGCTTAGAGGCGGGTCAGAGATCTAACCTCTTCAGAAAGGCATGCATCCTTTCACATCTGACTTGTTTTGTGTGTCTGTGTTTGGTTTGTTTGTGTTGCTTGGTGTTTGGTGCTTCTTGTTGTTGTTGTTTTTTATACCTGCTTAATTCTTGGGATTCATTTTGTTTGAAACTCTCTACCAGGCAATACTCCAAAAATAGCACTGAACACAGAAGCAAGCAGCTTGTACAGATGGACACCCCATCCACTGGGCTGCGGCATTAAAGAACTGCCATCAGTGGCTTTCACTAATAAATGTTATTAAGCAACGAGTTTAACATTTCAAGCAGGTATATATATGTAACAGTTTGCCTGGCACACAGATCAAAGTCAGTGAGACTAATAAATGGCGTCTTAATGCTGCAGCACACACGTGTAGCACAAACCAACCCCAGAGGCCCTCAGAGCCTTCAGGCATCACAGCATCCTTCAGAATGCTCCTGTTCATATGGGAGGTTTTCATGGCCACCATTAACACTGGGCATTAAGCCAGGTCAAAGACAGATCAGCATCTCCTAAAACTCCCTGTTAGTCATGTGTTACATTTACAGTTAATCATATTTTGCTAGCTCTTCAGAAATATACTGTCAACACACCTAAAAAATCTGCTTTGAACAGAAGCAGATTTCAGCACTTCATTACTTCTGTGTATTAGACCGGATGCATTAATGGTAATTACTGAATAGTCCAAAGCTGAAACAGATGATCAAGTATGCTGGCTTTGCCTACCGTTAGAGACACCCATATTCTGCTCCCATCAGATAGAATTTTATCTCAGGTAAGCAACTCAGAGAAACAGGAGACAAATATCCACTGAAGAAATTGTATAGTCAGATTCACTGAGATGACCCAAGGGAAATTAAAAAGCGTCACATTTCAGACAGAAAGTAAAGCACCATCTGTGCAAGTCCTTGTCAAATGAGTTTCAGCAAAGCAGCTTAAAAGCCTAATACCTAAGATCTCCATAAATGTTAAAGGGATAGAAGAAACATACAAGCTCCTCTTCAAACATGCTATCATTTTTCCATAAAGAATTAATGTTCATTTTCTATAGACATACACTTATTTCAAATCTATGAGACAGAGAAAGGCACTCTGGGCATCCATTTGCCTGATGAAGTGGCATCATTTTCTTGTGGGTGGAGTGCCACAGCAGAGCACAGTGCAGGTTCAGGGTACTCAAAGACACATCTGATCAGCCAGACGGCACAGACTGAGCATGATTCAATCAAGTAGCTTTGCAATTCCTCTAGAGGAGACAAATTCTTGAGAATAATGACTAATTTACTCTTACAACTTTTGGTGCAGATGCTGAGCCTTGGGTCACTCTAACAGCTGAAAAGGATTTCGTCATTATGCAGAAGTCACTGCTGCCAGTGATTATTTGAACACAGAAACTGGCATAGCAGATGAGATTTTTATTTAATCCAATATCCTGTCTCCTATAAAGGCTCGTGCCAGATGCTTCAGAGAAAGGTGCAAGAAACCCTGTAATCTCACAGAGTTGGGGACTGCCTTAAGCCTTGAAGCAGAAGGTTTAATGGAAGTTTGGTATGACTATAAACATTTAGTTATGTTTGTAAAACACGTTTTTATGCATTGTTGGTTCCTAACATCCTACAGCAGTAAGCTCTGTATACTAAATCATACTCTAACAACGCAGTTTTTTTGTCATTGACAAGTTTGTCATGTTGCATTAAAGGGAACATCTTTTTGTACTGGGACCTGAGGGTATGTTGCTCTTCTACAACGCTTCTATCTATTCCCCAGTGAAGCTGAGGTGAGGCTCAGTGAGCTATCATAACTTTTATATTTTAGAGATTTTCCATGCTGGTTGGGCTCCCATTTTAGAAAGTGCCTTTTATTATGGCTTGTCCTGAATGGCAAGATTACCTGAACCAACGGGAACTGCCAATACCAACTTGCTTTGACCAACTGCAGAAATATGCCCAGCCAGTGACCGCTGTGGCAATGCTGCAATGTATGAGACAGATAAATATGGAATTCAGGCAAAAGGCTCAAGGGTCACCCCTTCCAAAGGATGCCAGTGCTCACTGTGGGCCGCCGTTATTCCTGCACAAGGTAGTTATTTGCTGTCATGCAGGAAGCCTGTACTGTCAAGCTGCACAAGTTAGCAGGCACCTTTGTTACAGCTGGGGCCAGCAGAGCAGGCAGCCTGGAACAACTCCATCTGAGTAGATTTATAAAGGAACAATTCAAAACCACCACCCTCTTAACCATGCTTCATTATCTCTGGAAGTACTTTGAAACAACCCAACGCATTCATGTTACCAGCCATTTTCATAATTGTAACAGCCTGTGCAGAACAGGAAATTTAACCCTAACAAAATTGTCCAAAATGACAGGGCAATGCAATTACCTCCCATGGCTACAGTCCAGGTCTGTTTAAAATCAAGCTATTAAAAGTCAAATTGACTTAACTGATATGCATGAAGCCTATAAACCTTCACATACCCAGAGGTCCTGCATCTTCCCAGCTCCTTTTGCTTTGTTTTAGGATGACAGAAAACAAAGAAATATAGTTCATGTCTCTTTACCAGACTTATGTAAGCCCTCTCATACCAGAGAGAAATACCACTCACTTCACAACCATGAAGTCACGAAGACATATTTGTGTCATTGCTTTTTGGCAGTACAGACATTTGTCAATGACTGTTTTGAAGAATGAAGTATAGAGGATAACATTTCATCGAAAACCTCAACTGAACACCTGAAGAACTCACTTAAGAATTGCAGCCATTGCCATTGAGCTAGACTGATGTGCCAGATTCAGAAAAACACAACCAAATATCCCATCACTTTTAACTGTTCTCTCTTTCGTATGTATTTTAATAAAAAGCATTAAAAATGAGTTTTGTTGCTTTAAATACATAAAATATATGCAAAATTGCTAATAGTGGTGACTGTGAAAAAAAATAGTGTTTTATAGCTGAAAATTTGTTCAATATAACAGTGTTATTGTGCTCTTTATATCTGTTGTCATTTCTGTGAAAATAAACAGGAGGCACTACTTTTGGAGCTACCTATGTATATGTGGCCCAAGATAATCCCTCTTGAATCAGCATGGCCCAGGCAAGCCAAAAGGTTGGACACCCATGCCTTAAGGTTTGTATCACTACTCATCCCTGGATGAACACAAAATACAGCCCAGCTGAGCCACTCTCATACCCACAGGGCAGCAAGGAGAGCATGCTGAACCCTTAGAAATGCACCAAATTATTCTGACAGGCAGAATGGGACTAGATAGTAAGACAGCTCCTAATAATGCATTGCTGAAACTGTTAATCAATAGAAATCCTGTCAAGTTGTCCCTTGTGAAGCTGCCATCAGTCACACTCATGTGCGTGGTCCTTCAGCCTGCTTTCCCAGGCACCCCAGGGAAAGCTGCCCGAAGGCTAATTAGGGCAGCACTGAAGCAACTGGGAGTTTTACTGTAACAAGCTGATGAAGGTGTACCAAAATAACTACCATCAATTGAAATGCTACTAAATCAAATCTCGTGTTTGTCAGCATTACTTACATCAGTAGACTCAAGGCAATTAGAAGACATTCACTATGACATTCTTAAATAGCTTAGAAGACCTAATTGTTAAAAATTGAGGAGACTGCTGCAAATTTAATCTTCAGCTAACAATGCCTTTAAAGGCACAAGGACTCAAAACACTCCACAGTGCTTACAAATGGGAAAAAGAATTTAAATAGCAAACAGATGAGGCAGACTCACACCAAAAAACTCAGATGTTACATAAAATGACCCAACCCAGACCACTTCAGATGAAGTGCTGGATCGAAGTCCACTTGAATTGGGCTTAAAGAACCAATTCCAAAAGACACAGAGTCAGAGATGAAGTTTCATCTAAATTTAATCATTACACATGTTTGTCAGAACATTTTTTGGAAGCAAAGCTCTGAAAAGTATACTTGATGCCTCGAAGATTAGGACTACTAGCTAAGGTACTTCTTTAAAAAGGCAGGTTAAGATTTTCAATTGAAACTTTTCAAAAAGCTCTTTCACGCAGAAATGTTCTCCGATCTTGTGAAACATGAAGAATTTCTGAAACAAACTACTCAAAGAGTTCCAAATGCTGTGCCACTGTGATACAGGAGATACAAAACCTGGTCTCAGCCATGCCCAAAATCCAAGCAAAATTCTCAGTTTTGTGGAAAGTCAGAGCTGTGCTGCTTTGTTTGCAGCTCACATTAGCTAGCCCAGAGCTCTACTTAGCCAGAAGCAGGTCCTAA